ACAGCCCATGTCACGTCAAGGGGCCTCCCTCCCATTTTCTTAAAGAGACACGCTGCTCGCTCTCTCACTATCCATCCTTCGGTTCAAACAATCTTGTTCTCCCATCTGGTGGTCAAAAAAGGGTACTACACATAAAACAAATTAACCAAAATTTCTTCTCAAATTTGACAATAATTACTAATTATTGTCAAATTTCAAACAATATTATCGTTTATCGCAATAATTTCTGAGACAATTAATCGCCCAGCGAAATTTATTATTGTGACCGGCCTAGTAACACGTCAGTGCACTCGGTCAGTGGTGTTTGAAAGATGTAAGTAGAAAGAGCAAGGCTGGCGCAGAGAAGACTAGAATTAAAAAGAGGAAAGCTCTGGAAACAGACGCAGCTAAAGGTTATAATTATTTGATTTTAATAATAATAGGTCGTGATCTAAAGTGGGCCAGTCTGAAGCATGAAACTCCAGGGCTTAATGAGTCCCACTCCGGTCCTGGTGCGACCTCGGTTTGCTCTCAGTTAACTTAACTTGTATGTGCTAGTATGAGCCCTCAAGTCATGTTTCATTATGTTCTTTCACCTGGTTGTAATGTGCTTCAAGGCTCATAGACAGGACATTTTAAAATGTTACCTTTATATAAAAAGGGCAAGGCTGTTCTAGCAATCTGACAAAACACACACACCCTGCTGAGGAATCAGGTGGAGTTGAATGATTTCCACTCGTAAACTCGCTGCTTTGAACATAATCATAAAGTTGTGAATAACAGGGTGTTGTAGCATCCCTGTGATATTTTGATCAAAACGTATCAGACATTTTGGTGATTTTGAGATATTGGTGCATTTTCTTTTAAAATGAACGTTTTGTTCTGGTTGTCTTATTGGTTTCTTTCAGCTGGAAGGCTGGCGTACGGCGTGAACCCTGACAGGAAGGAGCTGAAGGTTGACGTGTCAGACATGCTTGAAGATCAAGACTACCATCTCCGCCTTTGCCTCAAGGATTTTATCTGCACAGGCACGGGAGCGCATACTCTGGTTAGACACTTACAACAATTACAGAAATTAATGATTCAAAATGTTGAGTCAAAACACGACAAAGGAAAACCAAGATTTCAATTATTTAACAGAATGAATTTCTTGAACATGATTGCCCTAAAAAGTATACGTCCTGCTTCTTTCTCACTGTTGTTGGCTGATTTCTCCCTAGCGTAGCACACCTTCTCTTTAAATAGTGGTAAAATATTTTAAACAAATAGTATTGTTCGTTTTGGAATGTCCTCATGGTGACTCATGACACCTGTTCAGTAAACATTCAGTAATTTGCTTCACTTCTGCTGACTCGCTGTTCATATTTCCTTTTGAGGAAGTATGAATGGCAACTTTTAGCTAGCTGCCTAATGGAAAAATCTTTAACTGGGACATTTTTTGTTTTTGTTTCAGATAAAAAAGGATCAAGCCCTTAAGAGCGCCATTCTTCCATACACCCGGCTTTTGCCCTGTCTTTGCATCGAGGTACATTTCTGGTTTATGCCCCTTTTATTCAGTTCTGTGGAAGGGAACACGTCTTTTGTACTCACGAGGAAATTCTTTCTAGGGTTGGTCAGCTGTGACAGATGCCACTAGAGTCCAGGTCTGCCCATTCAGAGACCGTGAGTAAACAAAAAATAAGGTTACATAATTTTTGTGCCAAAAGCTGATGCCTTATCATGTCAGCTAAAAAGATTGTGTGTTTCCTTCCCGACAGGCCAGGAGGAACTGTGGTTTGGAATTACTTTTGACCCGCTGGAGGAGACGTTGATATGGGAGCCTGAATGCCCCGTTACAGCTGTGGTTGGGTTGTGTGAGAAAAGAGAGGACGGGAGCTGCGTGGATCTGCCTCACTCATCGCAGAATGTCAGCAGAGGAAAGGTACACAGCTTTTTAAAATCACGCTTTAATGTGTCCACATGAGACGAGCCACCATTTAAAGGAAGTAAGACTGTCTGGTGTGTCATTAAATCTCAGATTAGCCACAGATCCTTACAGATTACCTGCTGGTGACGCTTCATCCCCCTTGAGGAAAACAACTATCCCGTGGTTCTTCGAGCGAAAAACATTTGATTTCACTTACGTGGACACGGTTTATGTCAGTGCAAACACAATATGCTGCCAACAACTTCCTGCTTGTGTACCTCGCACCGCAAATGTCAAATGACGTCAAACATAAAGGTTTACGCCTTAAACTGTGTCATTTTGCACCTCAAAAAAAGTGGATATTATGTCAATTTAACCTTCGCCTTTACGGTGTTCCATAAACTCCATGGTGCAAAAGAAATCCCACGCTTGTGCATATTTAAGCATGTGATGTGAAGCAGCGATAAGTAATCCTCACTGGCTTCGGGCCCAGGGTTTGTCACCTGAGAAGGGAATTCTGTGTTAGTATATAAATAGCCCGTGACGCAGATAATCTTCCACTGAAAATCTTTTTTTTATAATCGGTAAAATAAAAATTCCTAAAATAGTGTGGTTTGTGTAAACGAACTGATTTATTAATTTTATGCTTTTTGTTGTTGATGATCTTTAGATGACTTTTGCTGCAGTTGATCCACACCCTCAGCTGTGCATGAAGGTAAGGATCAGCTCTCAGTCAGTTTTTGTTGTTTGCACATCAAGTTCAAAGCTAGCTAACTTAGCTTAGCATACTTCTAATAATGCTAGTCTGGCTCTGGTAGGGTGGGGGGTGGAATCTATGCTGGCATTTCTACATCTTTTTTATCCACACGTATCATAAAAAGTGAACAAAATGTAGAATATAGTCGAAGTTTATCCCCAAGTTTTTCCTAATTGCCCCCGCAGGTTTACTTTAGCAGGTGGTTGGATTTTGTAATCCAACTGACTTTGAGCAAAGCCAGATTCAAGAATGGGAGTAATTACATGTAAGAGCACTGTTCTTTTTTCCGTAAATTATTTCCTACAGTGGGGGTGGGGGGGTTGGTACACTTCTCGAAAGTAAGGAGTTTTTAGGTATATCAGGAATTTATTAGTCAAAGATGGCCGACACGTGTTAGCCATTACAGTAATGTGGTGGTTTCACTCGACTGTGGAGCTGGGGGTGGAAAGTAAAGTTTCCATTTTACCACATTATCAAACCTATGTTCTCAACTTTAATCTTTAGCCAGCAGCTCTGTCAAATTTAAAGTACAAAGCTGTGAATAAAAGCAGACCAGCTCGGCCTTCAAGCTACAGAAAGCAGCGACTATTAAGATTTCAGTTTCCCCTTCACTTGGAAGGGCGCTTGGCAGAATGAAGGTGGGGTGGGGGGTTGTGAAGAGGAGAGCGTGACGTTATGTCAATATAATGTGACTTGCCACTTGTCCTGTGGCGACCGGTCCTTGGAAACAATCTCCCCTCCCCAGCTGTTAATGGGAGTTGTGGTGGTGGGGGATTTCGGTAGGTGTGCACGGTTGTGTTGACAGGGCGAGGCACCTTGGGTAATGGTAGAAGAACCACTGGATTTAATTAAAATGGCTCCTTTTGGACGTTTCTCATGCAAGTCTGAATAGGATCAGAGACCTTTGATCCCTTGGAAGTCTGGGTAAATATCAGGATGTACAAGGTCCGTTTTGTGCTAGTTAGTTAGGAGGTAGGTAGGTAGGTAGGTAGGTAGATACGTAGATAGCTATATAAATATGTAGATAGATATGTAGATAGATGGATACGTAGATAGATAGATAGATAGATATGTAGATAGATACGTAGATAAATGCATAGATAGATGCGTAGATAGATAAGTAGATAGATACGTAGATAGATACGTAGATACATAGATATGTCGATAGATGCATAGATAGATACATAGATAAAGATACATAGATAGATGTGTAGATAGATACATAGATAGATAGATATGTAGATAGATACTTAAATAGATAGATTGATAGATACGTAGATAGATAGATAAACACAACAATTAAACTTTTATTGTAGCATAATGAGTGAAGATGTGTAAAGAATCATTATTGCATGTTGTTCAACATCTGCTACATTAAACTTGGTTAATATTTATGTATATAAATATTTTGTCAGTTTTCCGTAGATTCCCAGTTCTGGATCCGGTGTCCCTTTTCAGACAGGCTCAAAGGTAAAGAGTTCCTCTTATCTTTATGCTAATAAAAGCAGACAGTCTACACTCTAGTGATTTTAAAACCACCTCCAGACAGAGTGAATTACACCATGAACATAAGAGACTTTTAATGTAATCCAGTGTGCAGCGGCTCGTGACAAATATGTAACATTTTCCAGCCTGGAACATGGTCGTGACGCGCCATCAAGGGCACCGAGAACTGCAGCTGCTGTCGCAGATCACAGCAACGTTTTCCCTCAGGTTGTGTGTAAAACCTGAAGGCTTCTCCGAGTGCGAGAGCGCCACAATACAAACGGTGCACGTAGTAAGTATCATGCATCTTCCACGGAGATTTAGGCAGTAATCCCGGTCAGCAAGTGCTCATTCCTTGGATTTGGTTCATCTGAAGGAGGTTGATGTGTTTTTTTATATTCAAGTGGAAATGCAAATGAGGACCTCTTGATCATTTGAATGAACTCTGAGGGACCATGAAACAAGGAAGCATTTGTTTTAGTTTGTTTTTTCTTTGTTGCTATAGGAAACAAAGTCTCGCACATAATATCTCAAAACAGTGGCAATAAATAAAAGATTACACCTTCCACACCATGTAATGATGTGGATCTGCCAACACTTAGGCCCAAAGTAATAATAATAATGTGGCATGCTTTGTGGCTGCAGGAAGCCGCTTCTCAGTGATTTTATCTTTCTTCTGAACAGAGCTGCGTCTGATTTAACAAGATTCAAAGAAACAAATCCAAGGAAATGTCAAACCGTTCAGTGCTGAATGATTCTGCTGAAAATGTGTTGTCGAAGCTAAAAGGGAGCGAATGGGTAAAAGATAAAGAATAGAAGTTACAAAAGCAAACCAGAAGCTAAAAGAGCAGAACAGTAACTGCAAGAAGAAAACTGATGGATGAAAGTAGAAAAATCCTTAAAAGCTAAAAAAAAATAACAAAACATCAGGTAAAAGTGTAAAATACTGAAAAGTAGCAAAACACTGGCTAAAAGTTGTAAAGGGCTAGCAAAAATAGCGTAAAAAAGACAAAAATAGAGCGAGTATGCTGAAACGGATTTCAGAGACAGTGCTTTTGAAAATAACTAAAGATCATAAAGTTGTTTTTTTTTTTTTGGTAAACAATTTTGTGAATAAAAGCTCATAGCTGTAATGACCTGAATGAGCCGAACGTTTTGATCTTTAGTATGCAGACGTAGATGCACGTGACAGAAGCTGTGGACCTAAAGACAAAAAGTAAAGAGAAACAGAATTGCTATAAACTCGAGTAAAGAAAATATTCTGTGGACTATTTTATATTTATACAGGAAACGACATCCAGGTTTTATTTTGTTTGTTTGTCAGGAGCAGCAGAAAGCTGTTGATTTGAAGCTGACAGGGGTACAATGCGATTCTTGCGTGCAGGTACGTTTGTGTCTTTTTCATACAAAACCGTTTGTTCTCGTATTTATTCAGTCTTTTGACGTTAAATCCTCCCGTTGTGTTTGTGCAGGTGACGAGGCTCGATGTAAAGTACGCTCCCACGGTCGTTCACTGCTTCGAGCCATGCGGTAAGTCTTGTTTTTGTTTCTGTAGAATTAAAAGGTTCTTTTATTTTGTTGCTTTCTGTGCAGCCTAACCTATCTCCTTGTAACTTCAGGCATACGCTCATGTTTACTTACATATAAATGTGTTTCTGAAGTTTGTCTTTCATTGGAATTCACCTAAAACATGACACATTTTGCCTGCAGGTTTAAGATGGGATAATTATGTATAAACATAATTTGTAAAGAACAGAATCTTTGCTTGTCATCGTTGAACATTCTGATAAACATAGATTGATTGATTGTATCCAGAAGGGATTATAGTCATGCTGCGTTAACAAAAAGTCAGCCCAGTTCAAACGAACACATGAAGGTGATGAATCCGAGTTTCTCTGCACAGTCTCAGCACAGTCCTCTGCTGCCACCACTTGGGACTTGACGTGGGCCATTTTACCAGTTGCTGTTTGCCTCTCTGCCATCATCATCATCACTCTGGTCCTCCACATTCTGTTGACAGGTAACCATGAAAACCATGAAGAAATGCATATCGCCTTTAATGCCAGAGTTTAAGAATAAACTACTTTTATGTGAGAAACATTTTGGTCTTGATGTGTTGACCCTCAGAGATATTGGGGATGACTCTCTGCTACTTCCACACCAAGTTTTAGATCAATATCTGTGTAATCTGCAGTGCTGTATTCATTTTTGTGTGGAATCAGGTCGACTCAAAAAGTCAGTCAGTTATAGATGAATATCCAGATTACTACAGTAGTCCCTCGTTTATCACGGGGTTTAGGAGACCCCGCCCCCTGTGATAAGTGAAAAACCGTGAAGTAGGGATACAGTAGTTCAAGTTTCACTCCCAAGCCCTTCTGTGTAAATAATTTAAATTCAAATACGTTAATATTTTAAATAAACAATCCGTGCTGCATGGATTGTTTATTTAAAATATTACAGTATTTAAATTTAAATTGTAGAGAAGAGAGGTGCAGCAGGACAGCAAAGGGTTAACCCGTCACGCAGCTGCTGCAGCACGTAGCAGAAATGTACTTCTTGATCAATTACACTGTAACAACTGAACATAGAAGTCATAAAATAATTAAAAAAAATAACACTTATTATGTGATTATGATGATCTTACCATGTGACATACTTTGAATTTTAAGTTGGAAGACAAAAGTCGATTGGTGCGTCTGGACAGCAAAGGGTTAACTCTTCACAAAGCTGCTTCAGCATGAGAAATGTGTGTGGGGCAGAGAGACGCAGGTGGCAGAGAGGAGATCACGACAGGCTGCAGAGGGAGCTTCTCCCTGCACCTGTGGGCTGCACACAGGTGCAGCAGGTGCTAAATCATTTTAAATAATTAATTTTAAATAAACAATCCATGCCGCTCGTGTGGCTCATCCATCAATCAGCCAATTGTGTGTCATGTCCACTTTGAAAAACTGCAAAAGAGCGAGTCTGCAAAAGTCAAACCAAAAAAAGTCAAAGTAGCGAGGGACTACTGTACATCAAAATCCTTCCAGTGGTTCAAGACAGTTCGCTAGCAAACCCCTCTTCCAAAGGTCCAAACCATCCGTAGAAAGTTCTGCCTTGACATTTTGATATCAGCACATGTTGCAGAAGTGAATGAGACCCAGTTCCTCTTTCCACCATGCAAACTTGTTGTCTTTGTTGCATGTTTCCAATAACTGGTGCACGCACGTGCACAGTTATGTTTTCCTTCACCCTTTCACAAAGTGAAACACAACTGTCCTCATCAGGGAATGGGTGGATCGACCAACGACAGAAATTTGTCTGCATTTAGGTCACAGCCCATTTGAATGAAAACCAGCTAAAGAATATGTTGCTATACTCACCTGCTTCCTCGTCTGTTTTGTCCCTGTTCTATTTTAGTGTACCAGAGGAGGAAACAAAAAAGAAGAGGTGTCTGTGTCTCAGGAAAACAAACAGGTACTACCATCTCTTTTCATTAATTTGCAGTTTGTACATGTTTAAAAATAAAGGTTTCACCTGAAACCTAACTCTCTTTCCCTCTCTGCTGTAGATCCAGCGCTCAACTCCATGGTCTCAACATTGCAAACTCAACCAATACTCACCGGGAGGGTTCTGGTACTGGATTCACCACAGTGTGGAAACGAGAAGGTCAACCTCATCTCTTAACCGACCCACAAAATGGTCCAAAATACTTCTAGCATCGTGCAGTATAAAGATGTTACAAAAACAACTAAGTTCTCTTTTTTGATATCTCCTCACATGTTCTTTGACAGAGGTTTCAAAATACATGTTGCACAGTAGAAATGCTGGTTTGTATGCTTGATAGAGGCAAACGCTGCTTTTATATATATTATATTATATTATATTATATTTGATTTGTGCATGTTGTGTTTTTGGGAAAGTGTACTGAATATAATTTTTTGTTAAAATATTCGTCCTATGTGAATATTTTTGTTCTATTTAAATGTGTATTTTTAATAAATACGTGAAAAACCCAACAAAAGTTCTCAGTTGCCTGTGTGTTCGCTAAATATAATATTTCCTCAACCACTGAACAGCCAAAAAAACACATCAAAAAACGGGTTGTAAGCTCAATCATCCAGGTAGATAACAACAAAAAAGGTTAAATCGTGTCGTCTGGACTAGTTTCTTTATATGAGAAACGTTTCGTCCCCCATCCAGAGGACTTCTTCAGTCTATGGCCTGCCAACCAGATCTGTCCCATTGGTAGCCTTCACTGCTGTGTTTCAAACTCAGCAGTCAGTTTAAGATGGCTGCCACAGCAGATTAGCCTTAGCAAGCATAAAAATTAATGTAAGTCTTTTTTTTTTGTTGCAGATATTGAGCTCAAATTTGGCGGGGTAGAAACTGAGGGTCATTCCCAACAAATAGTCTGTGTTCTTATGGATTGTGCAAGATGTATGCTTAAAACTTTGACATGAAGGAGGTGATATACATTTATTCAAAGAATACAAGTTTCACCCCTTATGATGAGTACAATCAATGGAAACAATGTTCCCTTGCTCGGACGTGGGTCACCGGGGCCCCACTCTGGAGGTGGGGCACACTGGCGAGTGCCTGGTGGTCAGGCTTTTACCCATGGAGCCCGACCGGGTACAGCGTACAGCCCGAACAGGAGACGTGGGACCCCCTTCCCATGGGCTCACCACCTGTGGGAGGGGCCAAAGGGGTCGGGTGCAATGTGGGATGGGTGGTGGCCGAGGGCGGGGACCTTGGCAGTCTGATCATCAGCTACAGAAGCTGGCTACTGGGACGTGAAATGTCGCCTCCCTGGTGGGGAAGGAGCCTAAGCTGGTGTGTGAGGTTGAGAGGTTCCGTCTAAAAATAGTCAGACACACCTCAATGCATGGCTCTGGAACCAGTTTCCTTGAGAGGGGTTGGACAGTCTTCCACTCTAGAGTTGCCCTTGGTGAGAGGCGCCAAGCAG